TCAACAACTCCGGCCAGTAGTAATACCGCTGCAGTTGCTGTCGCGTTTTTTCTACCCCAAAATGTCCCGAGGTAATTCCGTTGTGTGCCTCCTGCAGTAGCAGCTCCCTCAGTAGTGAGTACGCGGGTACCCAGATGCGGTTGGTGCCTGTTTTTGCGTAATAAACTACTTTAGCTTCTGCAAGTTGCTGTGAATTTCCGGTCATGAAAAATGGGTCGGTGCGGTATCCGTGGGTGAATAGGCCTATTAAAAGCGGGTTGGTTTGGGCGAGTTGGATGGCATGGAGTTGGGCGGTAGGGCGGGTGAGTGCGTCGGCGATGTGAAGCACGGGCAGTGAGCACAAAATGTTTTTGAGGGCCGAGAAGGCAGCTTGCTCTTTCTCCCCCCACGTGTACTCAACCCCCTTCCTCAGCACGTCTGTCAGCGGGGCAGTCAGCTTCGCCATGTCGGGGACGAAATGGCGCACGTAGCTGACAAAACCCCAAAAAACTCTGCAACTCGGTCAAGCTGGTCGGCACGTGCCGTGATTGAATCGTCGCAATTTTCTTCGGGTCTATTTCCACTCTTGCAGCTGAAATAACGTGTCCCAGAAACTCCAGGCGGTCCTGTAAAAACTCACACGATGCTTTTCTCAGTAGGCGGTTCTCACTTAGTATTTTAAAAACGGCTTCGATGTCCTGTAAGTGCTGTGCTCTGTCAGGGCTGCAAGTCAGTATGTCGTCCAGGTATACTATGACGCACTTATCTAAGAGCGGGCGGAAAGCTTCGTTCATGGCGTTGGTCAGTCCGAAGGGCATGACGGTGTATTCAAAGGATCCGTAGCGTGTGTGAAATGCGATCTTAGGGCACTCGGGCGGATTGACGCGAATCTGGTGGTAACCCCCTCGGAGGTCGATTTTCGAGAAAACCCGGGCTGTGCGCAGTTGGTCGATCAGTTTGTCGGCTCGCGGGATGGGGTAACGGGATTTGATGGTAACACTGTTCAGTGCTCTATAAACTATGCACATGCGAAATCCCCCGTCTTTTTTCGGTGTGAACAGTATCGGTGCTGCGAAAGGCGACGAACTAGGGCAAATGAATTCCTTCTCGAGCAGATAATCATGCTGCTTCCTCAGTTCGTCCAGTTCGGGCTGGGTCAGTCGGAACTGTCGCTGTACCGTTGGCTGTGCCTCCGGTTCTAACTCTATCCTGTGGTAGTGCGGTCGCTGAGGTGGCAGTCCCGTCGGTAAATCGTCCGGGAAAATGTCGCTTTACTGCTTCAACAGTGCTGCCAGATCACTCGGTACGTCGGCCAGCAGTTTCTGTAAATCCCCTCCTTTGTCTGCTGCCTCGGCTTCCCGAATGTCGACCGCATACACGTCAGCTCCTGCCGCTACGACGCGTTTCATCGTGATCGCGTTCACACGCACCGACGAAGACCCAGGCGAGCCCCATCGAGGTAAGGCGATGTTGTTACCGTTCACTCGCACGGTGCAGTCACCCGTCGTCCAGTCGATTCGCGGATTGTGTCGTCGCAGCCAATCACGCCCGAGTAAAATATCGGTTCCGTCGAGGGTCGTTGCAAGCATTTCCTTGCTAAACGTGAATTTACCCCCACATCGAATCCGAACCCGGTCTACGCGTTCCCGTATTGCCAGCGGCGTGCCGTCTACCAGTCTTGCGTCGATCTCAGGTAAACATGTGTCCAGTGGCAGTCGCAGTTTTCGTGCTGTGGCAGTGTTGATGAGGCTGTGGCTGGCTTCCCCGTCTACGAAGATTTTTACTAAGTCCGTCCCAATTTTCCCACTAAGCAGTATGGGGTTGTCTACCGTAGTCCCCTCCTTATTCGGCCGGGTGTGGTCGATTGCGTGAAACGGCACAATCACTCGGTGAGGGTCGGTTGGGTCGGGCGAGCGGCGTGACCTGTCAGTAGAGGGTCCATTTGCTACTGACTCCCAGCGTTTCCCTGCTGTTTGGTCTGTTTCTGCTGCTCAGCTTCCCCCTTTCCCTTAGCGTTTTTCGAGCATTTGCTCTTGCGATGTCCCGGCCGATTGCACGCAAAGCAGCGCCCTCTGAACGGTGCGGCAGCGGCATTTGCGGCGACGGCACGTATCGTGGCGCCCTCGTTCGTCCCACGAGGCCGATGTCCCCAATGGCTGCTTCCGTAGGACCCCGGTCTCGGTCGGCGGAAGAAATCAAGTTTCTCCGCCATAGCGAGAATTTCCTGACCGAAGCTGATGTAGCGGTCCCGAGCGATATCCTGAAGCCGCGAACCTGGATTTCCTGAGTGATATCCTGCTTCAAGTCGCCGATGTAGCGGTCGATGCGCTCGCTCTCGTGCATATATCCCACCTGCTTGCATAGCGCCAGAAATCCGCTCGTGTAGTCTTGGACGGAACCGAGTTGGCGCCAAGTGCGGAGCTTCTGCCGCGCCGCAATCGAAGCCGCGATTGGCTCGAAACGAGCGCGCAGATCTGCGCACCGCGCGTCCCACGTGCGATACTGGGCACCTCCACGAAATACGACGGCGCCCAGGGTCGGGTTTGTCCTTCCCGTGTCGGTAGAGTCGCGTAGTCTAACGGCTTCGTGACGATAACGCGCCACCAATCCATGGCGGGTCCTTGCAGCAACGACACGGCGTAGCGGATTTTCGTCGTATCCTCCGAGACGTAGTTGGCGTCGAAAAACACGTAGCATGTGAACAACCACGCTTGAATGGTAGGACCACCACGTTGGCCGGGATCGAAGCATGGCGGATGCTGCGGCTTCAGCGGCATCGGTGACGGCACTGCCGAACCGTCGGTTGGTGCCGAAATTGTGACGCGTGGCTGGCTTTAGGCCGCATTCGTCGCTTCGGGGTGTGTCGTGCCGTGGTCGTCGTCTCCATCGGGGCGGACGACGCCATCACTGGCTGCGCTCGCGGGTTGCCCCACGCTTTCGTGTTGTGATGCCTGTGGTGCGGGCTGTTCCGGAGTGCCAAGTGCTTGAGATTGTGCCTGTTGTGCTCGTGTGAGGTCATTTTGCACGGATGAGTGTTCTGCCGTCAGCGTCGCGATATCCTCGGCGCTCTCGCGGATTTTCCGCAGCAGATCGTTCAAGTGCTTCTGCGTGAGCGTCGTGATATCAATGTGCTCGGCCATTTCAAAGGGTGTCGGCTCGTCTTAGTCTAGGCGCAGTCGTGGCTGCACGCGTTTACGAGAGAACGTGAGGACAGCGGCTCCTAGGTGCTACGGTGCGTGCGTCCCTTCGAGTGAAAAATCAAAAGTTGATTTCCTGGGGTGCGGAGATGCGCGGTCCGAAAGAAAGGGGCTCTGAATACCAAGTGTTACGGGTGCAATGAATCGAAGTAGCGAGAATTGCACTAAGGTGTCAAACGAGTACAAAGATGTGAGCGAAGGCATGAGCAAACATTCATACGCGAAACATGCAAACGGTAACGCGGTGCTTGCGAGCTAGCTAGTGCTACGCTGGCAGTGAGGCTCAGGCTAGTCCCGAAGCGTAGGCCGACACGGCCGGGCCAGCAGTGCGAGGTTTGGCAAAACAGTGTGCGCGAAGTTGGCGAAGTCCCGTTAGCAGTAACGGGCAAACAACGGCTGTTGCTGTACGCGATGTAGTCGGGCTCCGTAAGGAATGCCGAGAAAATTCCTTACAGTGTAACATCTGTGATTTCTCACTTCCCAGCAAAATTACTCAAGCCAAGAATCGAACATTAGACTTCATGATCACCAAGGGCGAGGTAAGCCGCTGCGCTATACCCACAATAAAATTTTAAATAAACGCAAATATAATGAACATATCCTAGGGTTTGGTCAATCTTCTTTCCCTTTCTTGCACGACTCTGTGGTTCTTCCACAACTGCTAGTTCCTGCTACCGCTACTGCTTCTTCACAACTGCTCCTTCTCCAAATCTCTGCTAGAACTTCTCGGGTGAGATTAGAGTCAAACTCATATACTATAGTCTTTGTAGGCTGTAGTGGGGTAGACAATATGGGGTACAACACTTTTAGGTTTTCCTACTTGTACCCACCTGCTTGCTAGTTCATTCATTCCTTGTTCTTTCACATGGTATAGAGCAGGTTCCCTAGTGGGAACTTCCTAGGGCCCACCACTGAAAATCGATTTTTTTATTTTTATTTTTTTCTGACCGAGGGGCGAGTCGCCCCTGCCCAAGGCGCGCCCAGTGGACCGCCCTCTTGTCGAGCCCTCCTAGAGGCCCCTCTCACGGCCCCTCGCGCCACCCTTAGCGGCCCCGTCGCCACCCCTAGCGGCCCCGTCGCCGCCCTTCTAGGCCCCTCGAGGCCCCTTTGCGGCCCCGTCGCTGCCCCTAGCGGCCCCGTTGCCGCACTTCCAGGCCCGTCGCGGCCCCTTCGCGGCCCCGCCGCCGCCCCTAGCGGCCCCGTCGCCGCCCTTCCAGGCCCCTCGCGGCCCCTTCGCGGCCCCGTCGCCGCCCCTAGCGGCCCCGTCGCCGCCCTTCCAGGCCCTTCGCGGCCCCGTCGCCGCCCTTCCAGGCCCTTCGCGGCCCCTTCGCGGCCCCGTCACCGCCCTTCCAGGCCCCTCGCGGCCCCTTCGCGGCCCCGTCGCTGCCCCTCGCGGCCCCGTCGCCGCCCTTCGCGGCCCCGTCGCCCCCCCCCCTTCGCGGCCCCGTCGCCACCCTTCGCGGCCCCGACGCCACCCCTAGCGGCCCCTGTCGCCGCCCTTCCCGGCCTCGTCGCCACCCTCTAGCGGCCTCGTCGCCGCCCTTAGCGGCCCCGACGCCGCCCTTTGCGGCCCCGTCGCCGCCCCACCTTTCGACCCCTCCCTGGCCCCTTCACTCCCGAGTCGCCGAGCCGCCTGCAGCCGAGCCGCTGGGCCGCCGACCCGCCGAGGCCGCAGTCGAGCCGCCACTGCCACTGCCGAGCCGCTGCCACCGCTGTTGCAGCCCTGTTCCTCCCGCCGCGCCCCGGCCTCACCCACCCGGATTGGTGAGAGCCCTCCCTGCTAGACCACTGCTGTCATGGCTACCCCCAGTGTTCTTACCTTTGATGCTGAGGGTCGTGTCCTTACCAGACGGACTCTCCCTGTTCGATCACACTTCTGGTGCCTCTCCTGCCCCTCCTGCCGATGCTGACAGCACTGTTTGCTCACAGTGGGCCACGCGCGATGCTGCTGCCCGTCTTGCTGTGCGTTGCCACTTACCAACCGCTGAGCGTGCGCACTTTAGTCAGTACAAGAGTGCTAGGACCTTGTACGACGCTGTAGTTGCACGCTACTCTTCCCCTGCCACTGCTGCTCTTAGCCGCCTCATACTGCCGTACCTGTTTCCTAACCTCGCCGCCTTTCCCACTGTCGCTGACCTCGCTACGCACCTCCGCACTAGTGACACCCGCTACCGCGCTGCGCTTCCTGCTGAGTTCTGCGCCAAGAACCCCCCCCCCCCCCCCCCATGTACATCACCCTCTACTACATAGTCAACCGGCTCCCTGACTCCCTTCTTTCGGTCAGGGACCACTTCCTCTCTGTTTGCCCCACCACACTCACCGTTGACCTCCTCGAGGAACGCCTCCTAGCAGCTGAGAAGAGTATAGTCGCTGTAGGAGCCTCTAGAGGTGACCCGCGTGCCCATGTCTTTGAGGGGTGCTCCCCCTCCCCCCTTTTGCCCTCTGTTGCCTCTGCTGCTGCCGTCGACTTCGTTGGCACCGAGTCGGTCGGCGCTGCGTCTACCCTTAGCGGGCGACGCCGCAGTGGCAAGGGCAAGGGGAGCACGGGCGCTGGAGGGGCTGGCGGGGGCGGTGGAGGTGGAGGTGGAGGAGGCGGAGGGACTGGGGGTGGTGGTGGGAGTGGTGGCGGGGGTGGGGGCCTCGGTGGCGGCGGTGGCGGCGGAGGCGGCGGCGGCGGTGGCGGTGCGAGCGGAGGAGGAGGCGGTGGTGGCGGTGGCGGAGGTGGCGGCGGAGGAGGTGGAGCTAGTCGTGGTGGCTCTGCGCAGCGGGGCGGCTTAGGTGGTGGTCAGCGCTAGCAGCACCAGCGCACTCGTGAGGCCCCGTCCACCCAGCAGCTTCGTGAGAGGTACGCTGGGCATCAGCGAGGTGGGGGTACTGGTCCCTGTACCTACGTCCTCCGTACCGGCGACCTCGCTGGTGAGCAGTGCGGGGGCTCGCACTCCACCCAGCGCTGCTTTGGCCGCCTGACGGACGCTTGGCGTCACCAGTTCCCTGACGCCACTGAGATCCCTCGCTGGGGAGAGCTGTCTAGGGCGGGGGTTGCTATCTTTGATCTTGACTATGATGCTATTCTTGTTGCCATGTATGTTGTGTCTACTAGTGATGAGGGTGACTGTTACCTGTGTGTTCCGCCTAACCCGGGCATTGAGGCTGCTGCTCTAGGTGCTGGTGAGGCTGCTGCTCTAGGTGCTAGTGCGTCTGCTGCCCCAGGTGGTGGTGAGTGTGCTCTCTCAGGTACCACGTCGGCTCAGGCCTTACACACCTTCACCCTTGACTCGGGTGCTTCTCACTCCTTCTTTCGAGATCGCACCACGCTTACGCCGCTTAGTCGGCCTGTTGCAGTCTCCCTGGCGGACCCCTCTAGGGGTCCTATCCTTGCTAGCTTCTCCACTGTCTTACCGTGTCCGGCAGCCCCCTCTGGCACCCTGTAAGGTCTCTACCTCCCCTCGTTCTCTACGAACTAGGTGAGTGGTGCTGATCTACAGGATCGGGGGGTTGACCAGTTCACTCCTGCGAGTCAGCGGGTGACCCACTGTACGTGTGCTCGGACGGGCCGACACTTGGCCACGTTTACCCGTCGGCCGGGGTCGAGCCTGTACACACTGACTACTGAGTCTCCTCCGGTTGCTGGGTCTGGTCAGGTAGCTGCGTCAAGTCAGGTGTCTGCTGCAGCGTCCAGGTCTGGTCCTGAGTCTGCTCCCTGCTCGTGTCGTCTCCTGGCCCACCAGACTCTCCTTTGGCACCACCGCCTTGGTCACCCCTCCCTGCCTCGTCTTCGAGGCATGGCCTCCCGTGTCCTTGTCTCTAGTCTCCCCCGGTCCCTCCCTCCCCTCCCTCCGGGGCCTGCCCCTACCTGCGTCCCCTGTGTCGAGGGGCGGCAGCGCGCCGCCCCTCACTCCGAGTTTCCTCCGACAGAGGCTCCCCTTCAGACTCTTCACATGGACGTGTGGGGCCCCGCCCGCGTCCGTGGCCAGGGTCACGAGCGTTACTTCCTGTTGGTGGTTGACGACTACTCGCGTTACACCACGGTGTTCCCCTTGCGCAGCAAGGGTGACGTCACTGAGGTGTTGATCGACTCGATCCGTGCAGCTCGTCTCCAGCTTAGAGAGAGTTTCGGCTCGGACTTTCCTGTTCTGCGTCTGCACTCTGACAGAGGCGGGGAGTTTTCCTCCGCCCGTCTGGGAGCCTTCTGTCATGCACAGGGCATCCGCCAGACCTTCACGCTTCCGGCCTCTCCACAGCCGAAGCTGGTTGCCCTGTCGTCGGCCGAAGCGGATTTCATCGCAGCAACAATAGCAGTTCACGAAGGCCTCTACTTACAGGAACTTCTGCAGGAGGCGAAAATTCCAGCTTTGCCCACCTTTCGCTTTGACTGTGACAACCAGAGCGCAATTCGCATCGCCAACAAACCTGGTTTCGTCAGCCGCACCAAGCACATTGCGCTGCGGTATTTCTTCGTCAAGGACGAAGTGGACAAGGGCAAGGTTGACTTAACCTACTGCCCGATAGGCGACATGGCAGCAGACTTCCTCACGAAGCGATTGCCACGCCAGCAGTACCAGCACTGCTTTGAACTTAGCGGAGTAGTCAAGCGGGTCAAGTCGGGCTACGGCCAGGATTGACGGGGGGTGTTACGAATAGTAATGTATGAACATTACAGTGCACTCCTCATCGCAGCTAAGGAAGCACGCAGTAACAAGAACGAATGCGAGGAGTCAGAATTGACTCGAAGCGCCAGACGGTTGGGGTGGATCTGGACCGTCGGAGCAGACGGCATCGGGCAGTTGCAGTCAGGAGGAATTGGGTGGGAACAGTTTCGTAACTATACGCGCTGCACGGTTGGGAATGAATTTGAATAAGGGAATGTACCCCTTAGAGTACATGGCTAACTAGGTCGATTCAAATTCCCCTGTACTCATATTTATAGCTTTGTATTTGCATGTTTTAATTATCTCAAGCATTTTACATTCACTCTGCTATTGAGGACAAGGGCCCACCAACACTACCTAGCTGTGTGCGAACCTTTCCGAGGAGATCCTGGCAACGATCAATTTACGAACGTAGCAGGTGCGCTTCTAATTGAGTAAATATTATAAGCGCAAGAGCTGATAAATAACAAACATAGAAATTTAAACCAATAACACAAAAATGTAGGTCAAGTCCTTGCGCATTCAACCGGATCAAATTAAAACATGGTTGTGGGTAAAAATCTATTACAATATGGAGTTGTATGAGAAGGCATTCCTATATGTTGCAGGAGCCAACTCTACCGAGTACGATCTCGAGGAGTCAGAAGAGTCGAAGCGACTCATCAACTGTATGACCAAGACCGAAACATTTGAAATGAAAAGAGCGGGAACATGTTTGAAACGGGTTACCGCTCCGCACGATTTTGAATTCGCTGCAAGAAGGGAGTGTACCCCTTAGAGTACATGGCTAGTCTAGGTCTTTTCGTATTCCCTTGTATTCTTATATAGACTCAATGTATGCATGCTATCATCAATCTCAGTCATTTACATTCACTATGACCTGAGTTCTTTACTTTCGCAGCAACACTACTCTGCGATCAACCCTGAATGATCCTTCACTTATGTCCCACTTGGGATTGTAATATGGTATTATGAGCTATCAAGGATTCTTCGCAACTTCACTCCCGAGAAAATCGCCGAACCAAGATCTGGCGAGTGGCACACGCTCCAAGACCAAGATGGCCAGAGGATCCGGAGGCCAAGCAAATCTGACGGGCGAAGGACAAACCAATCCAGCTGCGACAAATGAGGCGACAACCACGATCGGCACTACCGCACTCGAGCAGTTATTCGCTCGACTCTCATATATGGAGAAAGAACTCCAAGATCCGCGCAAGGCGATGCAGGAACATCTTCCCAACTAGCTCAACCTGGACAACCGGCTGCAAAGCCGTGATACCGCCGCGTACACCTTCGCCCTCGACACAGACAAATCAACAACTACTGCCCCCCGTCCAAGTGATGAAGTCATCAATTCTGCGCAACCACGCTTCCTCAGCGTTTCGAAGATTAAGACTTATCCCGCATTTGACGGCAACGCTTTTTATACATGGAGTTTCGAGCTTGATCTCCTCCTACAAACAACACAGATCTACCATTATTTCGAGAGCTCCTACTCTAAACCGGCGGAAGACACCGACGACGCCAGGGCTCAGTACTACAACAAGTCCCTCATGGCATACAGTGTGCTGCTACGAAATATGACGTCTGCGGAACAACTCAGCATTCGCTCCTACAAAGAGAGCGCCACTCCAGCCTTGGAAGCCTGGAAGCACCTTGTTGAGGTTTATCAGCCGAAGGACTCGGTCACTACCAGCTGGCTCCTGCAGCAACTCATGGAGACAAAGATGGGGCACGGGGAGAAAGCGAATTCTTATATTAACCGTTGTTGCAACATCCGTGACCAGATCACGAAGCATGGGAGCGCAATCTTGGAAGAGATCTTCGTCAACATAGTCCTCCAAGGACTCGGGCCAGAGTGGAAGCCCTGCAAAGTGCGACTCCGACAGCGAGGAATCCTCTCAGAAGCCGCGCTATGCACCGCACTCCTGACTGAACAGCAGGACATGGACTCAAGCAGAACAAGCTCCGCGCCGCGCCGAGAGCGCCTCGCCTTCTACACAGACAACCGTGAAGAGCGACAACAACCAAGGCGCCACTATTGCAAAATATGCAAAATCTTTGGACACTCAACGGTTCGATGCAAATCCCGATCCAACTATCGCCCCTTGAATTCCACTCACCATAATAACTGGGTCGGCCGACAAGACGCTCGTCATTCTCAGCCTCAGCATCAGACATCTCGTCCCCCTGCGCAACATCAACATCACCAGCCACAAGGACCTCAATCAAGAGCTCCTAGAAACATCATCGCGAATATGGCGACACGATGTCGTCGCACTGCTGAACCAGACGAAGAGGACGAGCTCCACGGAGAGCTGATTGAACTAGAAGAGGGATAGAACAATACCCTCACGGAGAACCACTACTATCGGTACGATGAAGATGAGCAAGATTGGCATCTGCCAATAACACTGCGGGAAAGCCCGCCACATGAAAATCAGCATTACGTACCTGTGGGATGGAAAGAAGATGAAGACACATCCTTCCACAAAAGCTACAAAGCGACCTTGGTGACTCCACGACTCGCGCTACTTCAGCGCAAAAACAACACCGACTACCATAACACCTGGTACCTACATAGGTGATGCGAGCAGCACATGGTGGGATCTGTTCGCTACGTCTGGAACCTCAGCCGCGCTCCCGCCACCTACGTCACCGTCGCCAACAATGAGCAGCTGCGTGCCAATACACAAGGCATTGTGGTCCTGCAAGCACGAGACAGCAACACACACATCTCGTTCCATGACGTGCTCTATGTCCCGGACCTTCGCTTCAACCTACTCTCAGCAGGGCAACTCACAGACTGCGGAGTCATGATCGCCACGGATCCAGAGACTCGCGAGCTCCTCCTTACCTACGCCCCGCCGGACACCCCTCCTGAGTTGCGCAAGTATCTCGGACAAGCTCGGTCGATCAACGGCATCTATGTCCTGGACTTCGACATCCCGAGCTGTCAAGCTTCATCAGACGAGCTCGTGGAACTCATTCCCCCTGACTTCCCCTTCATGAGCCAGGAGTCATGGCAGCACCCAGACGGACGGCCGTGGATTCGCCACAGCCCTCATCCTCACGAGATCAGCTTGCATGAGCCCAACATCAACAGTGCACCACCTGCCACACACCCAC